TTTTTAAAATCTCTGTTATTGTTTTATCTTAAATATAAAACACTAAATATAAAAGTCAGCTTTTAGGTTCTTACATTTTTGCTAATTTGTGCCTCCATCATTAGCATTCACCATATTTTACCCTAACCTTTCCATAAATGATTATATATCCATGTACTTAACCTGTTGCATACACTAACCCACAAAGTTCTTCATGCCCCAGAAATATTTTAGTTTAAATGATCTTTGCGATTATACAAACATTTATCTTCTGGCAGAAGATGAAGTTCTAAACTTGATCTGATGCTTTATCTTGAGCTAAAGATTAGGGTAATAATGAGGAGACCATCCAACCTAAACATCTCAGATCTCATTGATAACCATCAGTTATTAAAATCAAATGCAAACATAAAAATAGCTACTTTGCAATTGTAAACACTATCTTATTTTAAGCAGTTTTTAAGTTGCAATATTTCTGAAATTGTATGTGTTTGTAATATGCAACAAACATTGATAGGTAATTTGTTTTAAAACTGATAATTGCTTTTAAATTTTGTTTAGAGCGAAGTCCATTACAGAAACAAGTGCCGTCACAAATTTAGTTTGAAATCTATACTGTATTTGTAAAAGTTGAAATTCAGTGCATTGATTTGAAAATAAGTTTTTAATAAACTCAAACTGGAACTAATGGTTTAAAAATGTATTTGCTTTGAAACAGTTTGTCTGTTTTAGTTCTGTAATTCAATTTTAGTTTTTTTAAAAATGCAGCTACTTTTTAGACAACCGGATCCTTTAGCCAGAGAGTAATCAGACACACATGCACTGATTAGATTTGCGTCAGGTTCATGTTTTTTACCCCCTTTTGAGCTGCAGAAGTGGAGCATACATGAGAATGCTGGAAGTCATTAATTAAAAATGCCAATAGATAAGACGGCTCATGTAAGAAATGGCCTAACTATATGCTATCTGTTGCTTTTTGCTAAGGTCTCTCAGGCACAAAAAGCTGCATTTTTAAACTGAATTTAAATGATAGAACTAAAAGAGAAAACTGCAGCTTCTAACAAAATACATTATTCAAAGTGATTTCTTTATTAAACCATTAAATTCAGTAAAGCTGATTTTCAAAACAGTTTATTTACATTTGAAATAAACACAGATTCAGTCTGAGCATTTCAGTTTCTGATGGGACACGTCAGAGATGTGAATAATTTGAAATCTTTTACATTTTCCTCATAATAAAACATTGATAATTATGGAGATAATCCTAAAAATGCATACAAACAGAAACTTTCAGGGCAAAAAAGATATGGTTGTCATAAAGTAGCACAGAAGGAATTGAAGAATTTATGCTTTGCCAGATCCTCTGTGCTCATATTGTCTCACATCTTTCTGTCGGTCTCTCATGTCTTGAAGGAACAGTGGTGCATTGTTTGTTTGAACACCACTGGGGTGATGATTTGGCTGGATCTACGTCTAAGCCTACAAATACTACTATTGTAGACATAAGCCGCATGTCTAGTCTATAAACGTTAACTACATTACAAAAACAAATCAAAACCTGTCAATCTGACTGCTTTTATGAGGCAACATACACTTTCACATCACTACAATGGAGCTTAGGGATCAGTTATAGCTTTCTAAATAAAAAAAAGTGTGTGGAAGCTAAAAAAAAAGAGGCTATTTTTACCTTTGTGCAGTTTACAGACGTATTTGCAAACCATCTTGACTTTAACTGCCCATCTGTATCCCTGAAAACCAAGTACTTCTCCTTAGCCTTGTACTAAACCTTCATTTGCCTAAGCACCCGTAATTCAGACTACATTTGCATGGCTGTAGTCTATCAACTAAAGTTTCATTTAAAAAGTGCCCTATCCTTCTTTAGTGATCCATTCATCTTTTCTACAATATTCTAATATGTGTCACCAAGGTTACCTCTCCAAGATGGCCTTTGGGTGCTCTTTGCGACACCATTGCAGATGCTCCAGTTGCTGCAATATAAAAGGAGATAATATAGAAGATGACTTTAAGTCATCCTGAGGGATTCGGGTACAAAACAGTCCAAACTCCAGAGGTACAGAATAAAAAATGGGGTAAAAGGAGCAGCACACACCTCTGCAACAGACAGATTTGATCTAATTCCGTTGAACAATTAGGACTTGGAATCCTCTGCCCTTTTCATCCTTCGGATCACCTATGGGGTTTGCTCCATGCTCCATCGTGCTGTATTTTCTAATTGGCCTAAAGGGAAAAGTAAAGTTGTGCATAAAACTAAATGAAAGTGAAGTGAGGAGTCTGAGAGAGATGGTGTGGGAAGGAGACCGGCTGTTCTGTTTTCTCCAGCAGTCCAAACTAGAGACATGTGGCTCCCCAGACAAGCTGTCCAGAGTGGGAGAGCTCGCTGGACTCATTACAGGCAGGGCCAAGACGGGATAGCTTGACAGAACACCGTTGGATCATACGGAGAGTTGGAACGGTCGGAGCAGAATTGTTTTTAGCAGCAGCGTATGTGAGTGTGTGAGCGCACGGCCATGTTTGTCAGCCGCGGCGCGCACACCCGGACAACTGTCCGTCCCCTCTCTCCGTCTGTGCCACCCCTGGCTGCCCCCTCCCCCGCCGCCCCCTGTAGACACGCAGAAGCACACACACACACACTCAGCCTCTCGGCCTGGCCATAAGGATCGCTTAAATGTTTTCAGTTGTACTGGACAGCTGAGGGATGAAGTGGCCAACCACAGGCTTCCATTGGTTGGACGACTCATCCAGAAACTGACTCATAGAGATGACTGGACGTTGACCAGCAAGCCAGCAGTCGCAGCCAGTTTATAATAGTTTTATCAGTTCAACTTTTTCCTCATCCGTTTTGACAGTCCATCCATCTTTCTGTGATCCAGTTGGAGTTAAGGAAAGTTTCCAGATGATAACTTCAGTCAGCTTTAGGGTTTACTGTTATTCCCTCCACATCTGATGTTTCTCACTATTCTTACTCCCCATATCTGTCACTGGTTTGTCATCACCAGTACAGATATTTGTTTTGGCTAACTTACCGCTGCCTTATTAGAATATTTTCTTTTCCCTCTTGCCTTATGCCTCTCTCCACCCCTCCCATCCAACCCCTCTCACAGCCCTCTGTTTATAAGTAGCAAGTGATCCAGAGAATATGCTTTGTTTTTGAAAGAACAGGAGAAGGAAATGGGCGAGCAGGAGAGAGTGGGTGGATTTGTGAAAAACAGAGAGAAGAGAGGAGAGGTGTGATTCTGTAGCCTTAGTGATACACTGGCACCGACCAGTGTGTGTGTTTTTTTTTTTCTTTTTTTGGTGTCCCTCTGTCCCTGTGTGGCAGTTCATTGCAGTCACCGCCGCACCGTCGTGCTCACACACACCAACACGTGTGTCTTCACCAGCACCCAGAGGTACCGGCGGGTCCCAGGCTCGCATGCTTCCTTCAGCGGAGCAGGTGTTTTCTTGCGATGTGTTAACGAGCGCGGCCTGCTGTCATTTCTGCTTTAAATGGATGTCACAAATAGAACCCAGATACACGTACATTCTGACTGTTCTCTTCCTGAGAATTAACTCGGATAAGGTGATCGGAAAGTCACCCTGGAGCATGCATGAGTGCACTTTAGGTTTCTTACTGAACTCTGTGTATTGCCACTGATTGTCAAGAAAGATCACTGCTTTAATAAAAGAGCGCGTAAAGACGTGTGTATCAATTAATCACTGTTTGAATAAAGCTGTTCCATGAGAGCCAAGAGTTAACTCTGGAGGAGCTGTAGAGATTCTCAACGCTGGTAAGATAATCTGTCACTCTACAGAAAGGTTTGAGAGTGGCAAAAAGAAAGCAATTGTTTAGCAGAAACCATGGGATGTTCTGTTTTCTATCTGCCAGGACCAATAAAGGGAGCATGGTAAACATTTCAACTTCCTAGCCTGCATATAAAATGCTTCGTGGATGACAGAAAGCTAACACTGGTAGTGGTGAAGCATGAGATTGCCGCCATGTACTGTAGCAGGGAATCTATTTGGAGTTGATCTGATGATAGATCGAGCAAAATACAGAGCAAGTCGGACACAAACCCTGAGAGAGACTGCATAGACCTAAGGACGGGGCAAAGGTTCTGCTTTCAGCAGAGCAACGGCCAACTTGAATATTCTAAAAATATATACATAAATGTGTGGATTTAATGTGACTAATTGCAATGTTTAAAAAGGGTAGCCTCCATACCTCTGTGTTTTACTATGTTGGACGACTGCTGGTTCTAAGGAATCGATGCAGTTGAACCCAGAGGTTCCCAGAGAGTGTTATCTACCACCATGGCGTGGCGTTTGACACTCATGTAATCCTCTTGTGGGTCGGCTAAAGGGCCCCGCTCCCACTTCATTGCCAGCCCTGGTTGGATTACACTTTGTTTGGCAGATGCACAGCAGATGTTCGTTTTTTTCCCCCTCCTGTTGACGTCTAAGAAGAATAATTCCTCATGTGTAATCTCATTTGGTCTCATGTCACGTCAGCTCATCCCCTGCCGTCGCTGCTGACCAGTGGTTTGTGTGTATCTGTGTGGGAGTGTGACTATGTGGTGGAAGGGTCATCACCTCAACACCTGGCCATGTATCAGCCAGATGATGTTTCTGGCATGGATACTTTGAGCGATGCGCTGGTAAACATGTTTTTTTTTTGCCATCTTTTACATGATAATCCGATGTGAATCTGGCAGGCGTTGTGGCAGTCATATTGATGCTGTGTGTATAAAAAGTACAGTGTGTAAATATGTGTGTTATATCCTCAAAGCAGATGACAGCTGAGCGGCTCTTAACTGTCCAGGGAATAAAATCAGTGTTTAAACCATCAACATCATTATTTATGTTGTTAATCCCACTTTCCATACATTAGACTGATTAGGAGTTCTAACCCCTGAGAACACTCGTGCCTCCAGTGTCATTTTCCCTCTCTATCTGTCCTCCACTGTGTTATTAAACTAGGCTAAGGTTTCCTTTCCTCTTTCTTCGTTTGTGTGTCTCTCCAGGTGAATACATAAAGAACTGGCGCCCACGTTACTTCCTGCTCAAGACAGACGGCTCCTTCATCGGCTACAAAGAGAAACCTCAGGATGCAGACCTCCCTTACCCACTAAATAACTTTTCAGTAGCAAGTATGTTACACTGACACAAATCTGTTGCAAAAAGTCTCTATAAATTACTGTCTTATGTAAAAGCTAAAAGAGCATAGATGCACCTATAGGAGTTATATGCAGATATTTGATCTATAGTTTTTTTTTTTTATGTTAAAACTTGTTTGTGTTTTTTTTTTTTCATTTCTTTCTGCCCTTGGTTGTAATTATTTATTTCTATTTAACCACTCCAACCAAATATGGGAGCTAATCTCATTAAACACTTTTTAAACAAGTTTGTTTATTTATAGGTTTATTTAAAAGGGGTGATGGTTAATTAAAGCTTTCTTTTAGATCCTTTGCATCAAATTAAATTAAGCTAGTTTACATCTGTTGTCTTTACTAAATGCCATAACAACAGTTTAAAAAGCTTTAATTATACACCTCTGCTTTTTAAGTTGTCGGCACACAGATGTTAACATTCCCAGGTTATTAATTAATTAGTTTGGTGTCTGTAAAAGCCTAAACCTTCCTACCGGTAATGGTTCTAAGACCATACGCTGTATTTTAAAGGAGTTTCCACTGCACCAATGTAGTGTTTAATTTAGTTTTCTGGTCCATTTATTTATCTTTTTTTTACTCTGCCTGTCATTTCCATTACAGAGGTTCATATTTTCTATTAACTTTAAATCACATAATAGGAGTTCATTATCTTTTTCTAAACAGCCTTCCTTATTGTTTTATGGACTAAATCCACCAAAGTTATTCGAAATAAATGATTAAAGGAAGCATTGACTGCTTTCAGTATCTCCACAGAGTTGGAGTGGGGCTCTTATTAGATAACCTGGCAGTAGGCAGATTGATATGTGTAGAACTGAGTTGAATTCTACGTTATCAATGGCTGCCGTTCAGTCTGTCCGTGAAAAGGAGAGACGTTTATTGCAATGACGTACCCGCCTTCCATAATACGCTTTCAGCCAATCGTAGCAGCGAATCGTGATGTTTGACTCGCTGGCTGTTACGAGACGGACGTGCTAGCGGGAGTCTTTCAAGATGGATTTATTGTGAGACTGAAATCTCAGATCTCGCGACAATCCAGCTTGCAGCTCAAGGTTACTTATTAGAGCCTTTCTAAAAACAAGAACCATTGAGATTCCCAGAAACAGATTAAAGTAATCAAGCTGCCCAAGATTGTTGATTATTAATTTTACATTGTAGGTTGTGAGTAAAACAGTACATCTTTATTTAATAGCACATTTTACTTAAAAATCACTGTGGTTCACAAAAATAGGATAAAACACACAAGAAAACAAATTAAACTTAAAATAATGATTTCTTTTTCTTTAGCAGAAATAAAAAACAATGAAAAAATAAGCTTCCCTAGAGAAGATAAGATGCACTCATAAAATAATTCAAAGAATATTTAACACTGTTAGAAGAAAAGGTAAAGGAGAAAAACTGAAAATGTTTGTTGTAAATGTAAAATATCCCTAGAAGAATGAAATGTAGCATGTTTGCATAAAGTGCAGCTTCCGCTGAAAGAACCTATAAAATGAGCTGCTGGTTTATCCGAGTGCCTGCCTGCAGGGAACCTTCACAGTTTTCGGAAAGAAACTGTTTGTAAGTCTATTTGTGTAGGATTTAACATTCCTGCATGATTTTCCTGTGAAAAGTGAGATGCATCAACGTGTCCCACGTTTCTGGACTCCTGCAGCAGAGCCCAGATCAGGTAGAATGCGTCCTAGACCTCCCGTCCTTTCCTCACCACCCGTGCTTTGTCCATCTCCTGTGCCATGCAGCTCCCATCCCACGCTGTCACACTGAGGCACAGTAAGGTTTCAATCTTGGTCCTATAGTCCTTTGTTTGTTTTTCTTCACCAGGTGAGAGATGTACTCAGTTAAAGAGGGGATGTGAAACCCAGGAACTTTATGATATCCACCAACTCCCCCTGTGTGCAGAGAGGAGCGTGTTTAGTCCAATATCCACTATGGCCTCCTTGATCTTACTTCTTACTTTATAGCAAAGGTCTTCAACAGGGGGTCCACGGAGGTTCTGCATCGGGGTCGCAACAGTTTTGGTTGATTAGACTTTTTTTTTATATTCGCTCCTGCAATTTTTTCCACTAATTGAAATGTCTTTAACAACACATTAACATGAATTCAACACACTGTAGTAAACAGATAAATGGAGGAACCAGAATCAGAAATACTGTAATAATCCAAGGGTGAAATAGCTTTCGTTACATGACTCCGTCTGTAATAGAGTGACTATCGGACCAGATGATTTAACACAATTTCACATATATAATTAGGGGATCCCCGCTGCATCTCACCATCAGTTTGGGGGCCCTTGGCCTGGAAAACATTGAAGACACCTGCTTTATAGGATAAACTTATTCCTGTAGTACTGCTGTCAGATTGTGGAAATCTCCTCTGCTTTGGGTCTGATAAATTAAAAGATGCAAACCATAAAAATCTTTCTTTAATATTATTTGAACATGATCATAAGGACTGAAAGTGTCTTCGGTTGCCTTTAAATGTGTCAAGATAACAGAGACAAAAGAAATTTCTTCCACAGCTGAGGCACAAAACTCTACAAATAGAGATTCTTTCAAGTTTTAGATTTGGTCTTTGGTTTGAGACACATAATTTCCTCCATCACACCTGTTGTTGAAGTCTTTGTACCTGTAAAAGGATTTGTTTTCTGTTGAAGTGGTTTAAATTTGTGACTGAACTGTGTGCAGTTTATAATAATCTTATGGAAAGCCAAAATCTCTATATAAAATTCAGCTAATCACCCCTATGTGCTTCTACAATTTGGCATAATCTTTACTCCCCAGACAGACTGGACAGTTGAAAATGAAACTGGCCAATCAGGAGCGACTCTTGTCAAGTTTAAAGTCACCTTGAAAATAAACGCTTAACTACTGGTTTCACTTCCTAGCTAACTTCCTTTCTCTTTCAGCATAATTAAACGTATGTAAAGAGTAAATTTAGATTAGAAAGATTAAGATTCAGAATTATTTTATTTAACCAAATTATTTATATTTTGCTCAAAAGATAATATAAGCATACAAAAGTAATATCAACTTCAAATATTTATGTTTATATAGGCTAGTTTGTCAGAGGTCAGCAGGTAGGAAATTACTAAAATCTTAAATATCAGTAGAAAAATGCTGTTTTTACATCTGCTGACCAGCCCTTTATTATTGTTTTTTTTTTTTTTTTTAACTATACACTTAGTGTCAGTATAGATGTGCTGTGGGTGTTTTCTTTAAAAAAAATTTTTTGATGAAAAAGTTTTAGCTAGGACCTTTAAGTCTTAAATAAAATTTATAATGAATATAATAATAAAAGGCAATACACCTAATAATAATCTACAGTTGCAGAAATTTAATTGCACAACCACATTACAAAGCTACAGCGCCAAAACAGAAAATATGATGAATTGTAGACTACAAGCTGATACCTTGGAGAAAGTGAGAGGAAAAATAGCTGAAATGAAGGACACAGAGGAGGAAAGGAAAGAGGAGGCCTGAGAAGGGAGGACAAGTATGGAGAATGAGGGATGGGGAATGATCAGTGGGAAGGAGAAGAGCAAATCTGGAGACTTGAGATGGTGGGATGCTTGGAGGGACTGGAAGGTGAGGCCTTTAATGGATGAGGGAAGGAGGAGTGCTGAATAAACGGGGAGGAGGAGGTGAACACCGGGTTGGAGATGGAATGGGAAAAAAAAGAAAGAAAAAAAGTTTGCGAGGAGGACAAGCCAGGCCATACATCCGGCCCCGGCTGCTTGGCACAGCACCGGCTCTGCCACATCTGTTGCCCAAAGCTGGGAAGCCAGGTGGCGTGTGTGTGTGTTCTCTGTGTGTGTTTGTTTACTTGTGTGTGGATGTGATGTGTTTATGCGTGTCTGTGAGTGAACAACAGAAGTGGTCAGATGGAACAGAGAGGGTACAGGCCTGTTCCCTGCAGAGGGACACATACATACAAGCTTGACACACACTAACGCTCTCACACACACCCGCTAAACTGCTACACAGACCTCACCATCACCTGCTGTGGCAAACAACCCCATTCCAGCTAGCATTCAAAGTTCATTTTTACACCCAGTTGTCTGTGTGTGGAAGCGTGTGTCCACGTGAGGACATCAGGGTTTGCTTTGGCGCTGACAATAGCATGACTGGCAGCACAGCAGGCCCTGTTCACGAGTCAGGTAGCAACCGTTTTGTTTGACTTTACATTGAAGCACTGCGGAGTGGATGACCTGGATAGGTCTGCCATTTATCGTCCTGTCTATATTTAGTCTTGCATGCAGAGCTGTGTCACACTTCAACAAAGGGCTCCTTCATGGTTTGAATATGTCAGACATTTATTTGATCAAATTTACAGGTCAGGATAAATATGGAGAGGTAAAAATAAGGATTGGTTTGTAGCTCTAGACTTCATTTTCTATCCCTTTGTCTAAAAGCTCACTCCTTCCTTACCTCATTTTCCTCTCTTTTTTATGCTCTGTTTTCCATGTCTTTTTTCCCCTCCTTCGTGCCTTGTCTTATTTCCTTCGGTCTCCTTGTTTGACCATTGTGTCCCCCTTTGTTTCCTATCTTCCGCTCTGTCCTTCCTACTTTCCTGTCTCTTACATGCCTTCCTTCTTTCTGCTCCCTAACATGTTTTTCTGTGTCCTTCCTTTTTCTATCTCCTTCTTTTAAGGCTTTTATTCTTTTTCCCTTCATTTCTTCCTTGCATCCCTCTGTCCTTCTTTTTACCCTTCTCCTTAACATTCTTGTTCTTTTTTCCTTCCTTATGACCTTTCCTGCATTTTGTCCCTTGATTCCTTTCTGTAGTGCCTCCTTCATTCATTCCCTACTTCTTTTCTTTGTATTCTTCCTTTGTTTTCTCATCCTGCTCTTTCTTCACCTAAATTTATTTTGTCCATGCTTCCTTAGTTTCTTCCATCTGCCCCAGTGTCCTTCCTTCTTTCCTTTTCCTTATTACCTTTCTCCGTCTTTCAATCTGTCCTTCCTTTCTAACTTATTTCCTATCTTTTCTTCTTCCCCACCGTTCTTACATCTTGTGCAGGTATCATTTGTAAAGCCTGCCCTCTGTAGGAATATTTTTAAAACACAGAATGTTGAACATAAACATTATTTAAATGAACAGAATAAACCAACTTTAAAATCTCAGTCTAGAAATATTAATAGAGACAAATGTGGTTAAACCCTGTTAAGCTGTAAAAGATTAGATTGATAGAGAGGCAGGAGACATAAAGGAGTCAAAGGGGCAGGAGTCAAAAGGAGACTAAAGAGGAGGTAAAACAAGGAGAGAAAATGATGGCTGGTCCATGTAGAACAAGCAGGGCAGATGAGAGGACAGAAGATGGATCCTAATGCTGTTTTACACCACTTCATGTCCTTCATAAGCCGAGACTGCTGAGGGGACAATGGAGATGCATTCCTTCCCACAGCGAGCTCACAGCCCCATCTGGCTCTGTATGCCTATGTTTCTGTGTTTGTGTACTGTATTATGCTTCTGTGTAATAACGGCCTACTGGGCTGCCTGTTTTTCATAGAAATGCGTCTCATCAGAGAGCCGCCAGATGCGTGTGCGATGCAGCACATAAGATAATTTGGCACAAGAAAGCAGCTTTTTTTAAGTTATCGGCTTTCAAAATGGTTTTCTATTTTTATACCAACAAATTAAAACACGAACTGTGTTCTCCTCCTGACAACTTGTTGTTTCAGTGGAAGATTTTCCAGCGATAAAAAGGCTGCAGCCAAGATTAAATCACTTTGAAAGTTTTCTGTGGCTCCTTCACAGTAGGAAAAAAGTAGGACCACCAGCACCGACTGACAGTAGATGGAGGCCTGCTCCAGAAAGCTGGAACAGAAGCATCAATACTGTCTGGTCTGGATAGATTTCCTCCACATCATCCCACAGCATTGATGTGGAGGAAATCTACTTTGAAGGGTAGGCTTTAAACCTTCCTTTTTGGTAAAGCTTATAGTAAGAGTGGTTCAGGTTATCCTGAGCTATCTCTATAGTTATGTTGATATAGGCTTAGACTGCTGGAGGACATAGGGACCCATTTTTCATAATTTTTTCATTCTATCTCTATTCTCCCATTCTGCAGTATTTGTTTGCCTTTTCTCATAGCTTCATCTTGTCTATTCCCGTTTGGCTGTAACACCATCCTAAGGAGAAATATCAGCTGTGCTGCTGCCATCAACTCCTCTGTTTATAAATGTTGGCCTTTTTCTCAGTGTAGTCCTGTTTCTCTGGCTGTGACTAACTGTACGTACTCTATTCGTCCTCTGACATGGGGGCTTACGCAGAGCTTATTTGCCTGGCTGTTTGTTTCCTGTATGGGACCACCTGTGATTCTGGTTGACAGCTGACTTTTGGATCTCTGCTTCTTTCTGTATCTCTGCATCTATCTCCTTGAACCCCAGTCGGCCTCGGCAGATGGCCGCTCACACTGAGTCTGGCCCTGCTGGAGGTTTCTACCTGTTAAAAGGGATTTTTCCTCTCCACTGTCGCTACAAGCATGCTTAGTGTGAGGGATTGCCTTCAATTCAATAAGTCGATGTAATCCATCAATTTGACTGTATGATCTGGTTGAATTGTAAACTGCCTTGAGATGACATGTGTTGTGAATTAGAAATAAACTAAATTGAATTGTTCATATTGACATTGCTGTTAAGAATAGATTTACCTTTTTTTCTGGTATTTAAGCAATACAAATAATAGCATTACTGCATACTTATAAATAAAATGAAAAGCATTTTATTTTCAAAACTACTTTAAAAACTAGCATCTGCTTAATATTTCAACAGCTGTATGGAACCTGACTTTTTTTTAACCAATTGTTTTAAGAATAATTCAATCTCCGATTGATTCAAAACAATCTAAGCTAAGTTTTCAAGTTTTATTTTATACTTATTTTCACTTTGATTTATTTAGGTCTATACTTTGACTAGGATCATCTAATGCTAATTTCAAAGGCTCCATTGTAGCTCAAGTTGTGTTTAGAGTGTTGTTTTGCAACAAGAGGAAGTCTCATAGACTTGCAGCCTATTGTGTAACCTTTTGACACAATTTTACAGTATTTATATCAATTTTTTCAGTTTGATCAACTTTCTTTCCCAGAAAAGTATTTGCTAGAGCATGAAGCAACCACCAAAATGTTTGACAGTAAAGATTGTGTGTATATGGTGTCTGTAAATGGCCAAAAAGTTAGATTTTGATTTAATCTGACCAGAGCACTCACTCTCTGATGTCTTGTATTGCAAATTGTAATGGTATATCCAGTGGCTTTTCTTCAGAAATGGATTTTGTGTTACCTTTCATGCATATATGACCTCTCTGTACAAAGGTACAACCTCTATAAAGATTTTTGCACCTGGGGGTGTAGGCAAATTGTTTGTACCGCTCATTTAATGAAATAGAAACAAAAACACAATCATTATGACAAAATTAAAAGCAAATAAAAATTCCAGGCCTTATTAATGAATTTATTTTATAGGACCATTCTGTTGAAGCATGGTTTAAAATTAGCGTCTGAGTTTCATTTGTTCATTTTCATAGAAATGTTATTCTTACTGTTGTCTTCATGTTTGTATCTGCAGCTCCTTCCAGGTTGCTGCAGGCCTCATGGCTGTTTCAATTAATGAGGTTTGGGTGGGCAGTCATGTTGGAGTAGATTGTTAGTTGTGTCATTCTGTTTGGAGGGTTGAATAAATGATGCTGTGGGATTTCTCTAAGACTTTTTCTGTCTGCTGTTTCCCTTGATCTTTACGATGCCTTTTGTTCACTGCTCTTCTCTAACAGACCTTTTGACTTATACATGAAGACCCAACAAAACATTTTCATGCGAAACATTGCAAGTCTCTATGTATGCATTTCCTTTATTTTGCTTTTTATGTGCAGAATCGTTTCTCCTAACATCTTGTTTCCCTTGTGCAATTTCAGAATGCCAGCTGATGAAGACAGAGAGGCCAAAGCCAAACACCTTCATCATACGCTGCCTTCAGTGGACCACTGTCATCGAGAGGACCTTCCATGTGGATTCTCCTGATGAGCGGTTGGTTCCCTTAGAGATTCAAACTTGAAATACCTGATGTGTCCATTCTCAGCATCGCATTTGATCATTGCTTCTCGAAAGTGTCAGGGTCCTTAACTGACAAATATTTAAACCTGTTTGATATTTGTAAACAGCTTCCCACATTCTCGCATCATTTAAAGTGCTTCTTTATGTTAAATTTGAACGGACTGATGTTTCTAAATTGTGCATACATATTTTAATCAGATGACTAATTGGACAACCAATAGATTAACACAATACAGGAAGTTTTATTAAGAGTGTCACAGGGCTGAGGGTTGTTCACTTTCCTGAAACGCACCTGTCCAGGACATGTTTAAAAGTGAAGGCAGTTTTAAAAAGTTGAGCAGTTTTAGTTCAGAGGATTGTGATTCAGTGTAAAAAAAAAAAAAAAAAGTAAATACGACGCAATGGAAATTGAATTTAGGAATTTAAAATGTCAAAACGCCAACTTTTAAGCGTGAATTGCTTTGAATAAACCAAATAATGAATATTATGTGCATATATTCAGTCAAAGCATTAATAGGAGCACAGGTATGTATATGAAGGGCTTTACTGTAGAGAGTTTGTGCTTTGTTGGTGTCTGTGAGGGAGACGGAGTGGAGAGGAGACCTTTCAAGTGGTGTTGGCATAAATTCTCCAGCTGCTCAGTTCCTTTCTGAGGAGCTGAGGTGTTTATCTCTAGAAAATGAACAGCTTTGCCCAGAAGACCACAGATGCTTCTGTGCATGCTTTGAGGTTGTGTGTATGTATATAGATGTCTGTGTGTGTTGCATCTGTCTGTCCAACTTTCTCCTTGTTATATGTTGCTTTTGTTGAAGTTTTGCCTCTGCATCATCAAATGGAGCATTCAGTTACCATAAATCATATAACTTCCTATTAATTAGTTCATAAAGTATCTCTGGCAGAGAATGCAGCTCCAGATGTGTTTGTATTTTTCATTCAGTGTTTGCACATATTCAGCACCACTGAAGCAGTAAAACTCAAAGCTTTTTGAAAAGAAGAAAGAAGTGTGTGTATATAACACAACTGGGTGGGTGTGTGTTACTGTATGGGCTGTTACTGTACCAATGCTGGCAGGCCTCCAGCTACTACAGCCCCAGCCGTGTGGGGAGAAGGTGGCACGTATTGGCGTGATGCCCGACTGTAGGCAGGCCCATTATCTCTCATTAGCAAAAGGGGGAAAAATGAGAAAAAGAGGCTCATTATACAAAAAAAAACACTTTAACCGAGAAAGGAGCATTTATCTGCTGCCTGACCTTGAGAGAGTTCCCATTGCTTTTCACATCGCCCCGTGCACAAGCACACACGGATACATCACTCCTGCCATAAATTAATGCTGGAGTGGGGCTCCAGCTTTGCCCTTGTTTTGAAGTGTGTAGGATATTCTCAGAAAGGAATATCGATCTTAAAGCCATACCGCTGTGTTTAGGTTCAGATGAAGGATCCTATAGAACCCCTTAAAGAAACATAGGTGCATGACAACACAAAGGGAAGCAGAGGTGATCCTTTATAAACCTTTAAGCGATATCTATCATTCATTTATTTCAAATTATGTTCCTGCAAAGCTAAATTAAACATGTGAACATCAGGCTAATGATGTATGAACAGAAAGCCTTAGATCTGCATAGACACCAGGGTTCTTCCTACGGTATGAAGAAAGAGTCGGCACAATATTTACACACTAATTTTCAACCAAAGTTTGCAGCTTGATCTGACTGCTTTTTTATTCCAATGATAATTAATATGAAACATATATATAACACTTTATTTGATCTCTATTTTACATCTTTAACGCATAAAGATTTCAGCTAAATATAAATTTAAAATCTACTATTTCCCTAGTTTTAAAGGCAGAAAACATATTTAACTTCCAATCCTAGGTTTCTGTGCTCTGATTTTCTCCTCTCCTCTGAGGAGTATCAGAGCAAAGAGCTGCCCTGTGTATGATCCATGATATTCATCACTGTTAAAAAGCCTTAATGTGTCTACACATCCTGTTGCACGGCTGGCCTTCTGTTGCAGAATCACATCCACACACGCCCAGACAGTCAAACTCATTCACTTCCTCCCAACAGATGTTGAACAGCACTGCTAATGGAAAGTCAATGGGGAGGAACCATGTTAGCAAACAACAATGCATTGTTTCCTCTGATGGATTGGGTCGGGTATGAGCACACCCGCCCGCTCACTGACATGCATTAGTTCTGCTCTTTGATCAGTGCTCATCTGGTTCGTTCTGTAGCTGACCGTGTTTCCTCTCTGTTCAACAGATAGGTGTTAATTTTATTAGAAACACTTTAGCAAAATGAAAGACCCGATTTGCTGAAAGCACCAGCCACCCCATCCCAAATCTCAGAATGGGGATGATTTTTTTTTTATGTTTGACCTGTCTTAACTTTCGGCTTATATTTTTAAACCACGAAAATAAGTGTTTCAAAAATGAATTGTCTTCTTTATTATCAGAGATGAGTGGACAGAGGCCATCCAGATGGTGGCAGACAAGCTGCAGAGACAAGAGGAGGAGAGGATCCAGTGCAGCCCCACGTCCAACATTGACAACATGGTTGAGGAGGAAATGGACATCTCCACTACACACCACAAACGCAAGGTAAACACACAGAGACATACAGTTATGAAAAGTTATGACTGTACTCCTCTCTAAAAGGCTGACTTTGTGATATCACTGAGAACCTTTTCTAGTCAGTTGGTATTTGAGTGAATATTTGTGATAAGAATAAATAAAATAGCTTTTTGTGTCTTTTAAGCACAAAAGCATTTATAGCTTTGCTTTTATCAATTAAAAGAATCAGTGAATGTGGTGAAATGCGACTTTCAGAAAATGGCCTTCTTTACCCAAATTAGGTAAAATGATCATTAAATTCCACCCTTATTTTTTTAAAGGGTCAATATCATCGGCCCATTTAAGCTGTTTTGCAACTGAATTTTTTCTTTTTCTAGATGCTTTAGGCACCTCCTCTCTGTATGCAAAGGGTAAAAAAGGCTCTTCTCAAAGAAAGTAAAGTTAATAAATAGGTGTATGGGGTGCATCACTGTCAATTATAAATTTGGAGATAGTTGAAAGCTATGAGGAAGCAGCTCACTTTGTCTGTCTACCATTGCTGTTTATATGAGAGATCACAACACTAAAGCTTTTATCTTATTGTCTTTGCTGTTTCCATCAAACTTTACATGTGAACTCTTGAGCAAAGGTGGTATTTTTTTAAATATTAAGTTGATGATCAAAATCCTTAGGATGGCGTCTGTTATTTGCGGATGATGTGGTTCTATTGGCTTCATCAGGGCTTGATCTACAGCTTTCTCTGAAGTGGTTTGCAGCCAAGTGTGAAGCCGCTGGGATGAGGATCATTGAATCAAAATCTAAGATGGTATTGAGCTGTAAAAGGGTAGAGTGCCTTCTCCGGGTTGGGGAGGATGTACTGCCCCTAGTGGAGGAGTTTAAGTATCCTGGGGTCTTGTTCACAAATGAGGGGAAGATGAAGCGGGAGATCGACAGGCGGATTGGTGCGGGTGTCTGCTGCGAAGTGGACGATGTACCGGTTTGTTGTGGTGAAGAAAGAGCTGAGCCAAAAGGCAAAGCTCTAGATTTACCGGTCACTCAAGTTCCTACCCTCATCTATGGTCATTAGCTTTGGGTCATGACCGAAAGAATGAGATCCCGCATACAAGTTCCCAAAATGGGTTTTCTACATAGTGTGTCTGGGCTCTCCCTAAGAGACTCAGAGCAGAGCTGCTGCTCCTCCACATCGAGAGGAGCCAGTTGACGTTGCTCGGGCATCTGGTTAGGATGCCTCCTAGACGTCTCCCTGGTGAGGTGTTCCGGGCACATCCCACCGGGTTGGCCCAAGCAGAGACCCAAGACACGCTGGAGGGACTATGTTTCTCTCCAAGATCCCCTTCATTACATAATAATGTCAGCAAAATATGTCTGAAATCAGAAGGAGAATGTTTCATAATCATATTATATACAGGAACACCATAAATCACTTTTTATTTTCTAGTAATCAATATAAAAATATTTTGACCTTATTTAGTTCTGGGTTAACTTTTTGCACCATCTGAATATATTAAATGCCCCGACTGTTAGCCTACAGCGTCTCACTGTAACAGCTGATCCCATGTTTCCCAACAACAGACAATGAGTGACTTCGACTACCTGAAGCTGCTGGGAAAGGGAACCTTTGGTAAAGTCATCCTTGTCCGGGAAAAGGCCAGTGGGAAATATTATGCCATGAAAATCCTCAAAAAAGAAGTCATCATAGCCAAGGTTAGTCTGTTCTACCTTTGCTACGGCAGCAGTAAGCATTTTTTGTTTTAAATGCATTTGTACAAGTGGTATTCTAATGTATTTCTAGAGGTTGCATTGAATAGAAATGTTTTTATTCTTTGCTGTTTGTATAGGATGAAGTTGCTCACACACTCACAGAGAGCAGAGTACTGAAAAACACCCGGCACCCTTTTCTCACTGTAAGTACTTGATATGTATGTTAGAGTAAATCCTAGTCTCCTTTAGTAGATTTCAGCTAATTTAGATTCTTAACCCTTTAACGCCTATTGATGCAAATATGCACCGAACCATTTACAAACAGCCAATATAGTGTCAAAATTCGCCCACTGCCAGTTTTGACCATTTGGGTCTCAGGAAACTTTTGAAGACGTGTTTCTAGCATGATTGGTTCATGATGGTGTTTATTGTTAAACTGTTCTATCAAATTTGCACTATATCTAAATTTCTATTTTTGTTTTTAATGAATAGAGGTTTAAGAATCTTAATTTGAAAACTTCTTAAAGGCAAATAAATATGTATCAAAATACCAAATTTTTGTTCATCTGTTTGTCTTATTGAAAACATAATTTCCTATTAATATGATTCTGTTTCTTGCCAATTTTTAAACTTTTTATTTATTCGTTTATTTGATAGGGACGAGTATGTTTCATGCTTCATGTCACACACTACAACATTTTAGCTAAGGCTAATTCTCAATGTCTGTCCCCAGACTCAAAGTAAAGAATTGAACAGAGAACCACCTTTTGACCTCTTTCTATTTAAAGGATATAAAACTGTACCTGATGCAATGCTGGACTTTGCACTTCACATTTCTGTTCCTTTTGCCTTATGTTGTTTTACTTTTCTTCCTCTCTTTGTTCCCTTATTAAAAATTATTTATCTGCGTGAGAAATAGTTGCATGCCATTCATTCTGAATGAAGCGATCCGCGCCAAGTTACAAAAAGTCAGAGATGGACAACAAAGCTCCAGAAAAGAGCACTTCGGCCGCACAGCAGTGAAAGCTTTAACTATGAACCTAGCTTCAGGTTTTAACATTTTCCACTCCTGCTTGTTCTATGACAGAGATTAGAAGCTTAAACTAATAAAATGCTATAGCTTCTCATGAAACTGCAAAACTATACGTTAGCTGTAATACATTGAGTCATTCCATCATCTTATGCTTGCACTTCTCTCTCTTGCTGTCTTGCAGCCTGAATGAACCACAGACGCGTGGATATGTAGAAATACGTTTAACTTTTTAGATTGCTTCTGCCTTAATGTTTAACATCATAGGAATATTCTAAATGACTGTGTGAACATTAGAGGGAGTCATCAAAAACAGGAATGGTGTGTTCAATGATCTGAGGAAGTTTGGACTTCGGAGTTTCCCACCAAATTGACATGGATTAGTGTTAAGAATCATCCAGTTTCTCCAGTATCTCTCATGTGTAAACATAGAGAGCCATTATTCCCCAACGTAGTTGACCTTCTGTGGAGAGAGCAGCGCCATAAGTTGAACTTCAATGACTGTAGTGGTTTGCTATGATCTAGACACGACGTTCACACATTAGCTGCTTCTTTCTCTCACGCCGTCTTTTTACATGCACAAGAATGCACATAGGCATGTTCACACTTAGTCCTATCAAGGGAGCAATTATAGTTCATATCTGCGTTCACCCCCGTCACACCTGCAACCACAGAGAGACAGCGACCAACTGTTCTTTTGCTCTGCATCCTTTTACCCTCTAAAGAAATGCGTGCGCACACATCTAATCCACACACGCGCTCCTGCTCACATGGTAGTTTCTTTGAACGATCTCACAAAGGCATAAACAGTGGGGAGCTAAGTGTGATGATGTTTTGTTGTGCCTGCTGTCTTAGCTACAACAGGGACAGAGTTCCACTCGAGCTCACGACTGTCGTTTAGCTTCACCTTTTGCTTTATGGTGAGAGGAGAGTATGGGGACAAAGACAATAAAAACAGGCAAAATAAAAATCAAGATTTGTTGATGTGTGTTTCTCTTTAACAGGTAATATTTGTAGCTTTACAGAAACGCAGGGAAGGTCAGGAAGCAGCAGGATCTATTGTTTTGTCCAGGGTCCGCAAATACAATACATTGGTCCTGTTTACTAGAAGCAGCTGTTAGGGACAAACATCTTCAATTCATTGATAATGTGTGTTTTTTGTTGCTGTTGTTTCAGTCGCTGAAGTACTCGTTCCAGACTAAAGACCGTCTCTGTTTCGTCATGGAGTACGTGAACGGAGGGGAGGTAGGTCTACTCCAAATACGTTTGTGGTTAGTTTATGTTGCTGCTTTGAACAGCCAGTTGAACCACAACTCCACCGCTGTAACTGTCAGCAATTAGAGCTCTACTCTTTCTGCAGCCAGCTGACTCTCTGTGACTCTGTCATAACACTGGCAGCAGCTACTTGGAGTATTTAACATGCTGTGAAATCCACAACCTGTAATTTATACATTTGCTAAAGGTGATTAATCAACAAACCCAGATAAATCGTTAAATTGGCAGTGTAACAACCCCTGGCCACCTTTATTTTGATGCAAGTAAGGAAAATAAGAATAAATTCAAGCCCCATTCCCACAGACTGCCACTCTGGGTCCCTGAGAAAACCCCACACTGCACCCGAGGGCCGCACAGTGGCAGCCCACTGCTCCCCAAGGGAATTGGTTAAATGCAGAGAGTTCATTTCGTTGCTCTGTACTTATAACAGTGTAATGAAAATAAAAGCTGAAAAAAACATAACAAACACATTGAAAGAACAAGTTGGGACCCAATTAAAAGAACCCACTTGAGCTATTAGATTTTGTCAAATTACATTATTAAATGATTTAACCAATAAAGATGTATATTGTGTGGCATTTGTATTCAGTCTCCTCTCAATACAAATACAGTCATATCATTCTATACTGAAGTGCAATGAACAAGTATTTATTTATGGGTTTATTTTGACTTTTCTTTTGTAAAAAAATATTTTTGCATCACCTCTCAGAGGGTAGTCTTTCTTTGTTTTTTTTGTTTTTTTAAAGCAGCAGAGTCACATTAGAAGACTTTTTAAAATGTATACTCAAATGGCTACAAAGTTTTTTTGTTTAATACAGCGTACACTGTCTGGTGTGTTATTTATTTTTGTGTGTTATGGTGTTTTTTTTGCTCAGTTTAATGCTAAATAAAGCCATTATGTGTATATTTGTTAGCGCTAAAGAACTAATCGGATTAATCGACTAATCAAGTCAACTAATTTAGTAATCATTACATTGTTAACTGGAGTATAGAGACTCTAAACAATGTATTTAGCTGACAGAGTAAGTCACTTAGAGCAAAAATTATACAAAGAAAAAGAATTTAAACATATTGCATTTAAAATTAAAAAAACTTTTTTGTCTGTCAATATGCTCTATCCAGAACTTCTCAAGAGGAAAAGTTTGTTTTACCTGGTTTATTTTTTTTTTAAGTTTTTCTTAAGGAACCTTTTGCTATCAGATTATTAATTGATTAATCGATTTGCAAAATAATCGATAGTTGCAGCCCGAATATTTACAATAGAAATAAGGTTCCCACTGTTTCAACATGATGGGCCCCCTTATACATTAACTTGTGGCCTGGGAATCCTCCATTGAAAACCCACAGACAATATGTAAATAAAACCACCTTTTAGAGCATCTTTCTTACCTTATTCCATTAGTCAACTAACATCTTTTCAACACTGAATTATAATCCCACTGAATAACAGATTTTTCTACAAACGGTTAATAATAAAAACAGAATGTCACCTCTCTCCCTGTGTGTAGTGGTGCGGCTGTGCTTAATGTCTGTCCAATCATGTCGTTTCACTCTAGATGCGTTTTGCTTTGAGCACCTTTTAAGTTAAAAGGCAGACGCACACATCTTGGTTGCATTTCAGCGCCCCATGAGCCAAGGTTGGATGTTATTTTTTTTATATATATATATATATATATATATATATATATATATATATATATATAGTTTGACAGGAAGAGTCATTGTCCAGTTTTAAATCCCCTGAGTTTCACCTCAGTAAGATCCATAACAGTGTATGTTGTATTTTTAGAATGATTAAAATATTTTCTAATGTTGATTGCAAGAAATAGATTTTTGTTTTCTTGTTTTTCCATCCATTTTTCTTTGGATGATTGAAAATTGGATAAAAAAGACACATACATCTGTTGGGGAACATTGTCAGGAATAAACAATAAAGGTTAATCAAAAGAATGCATCGAGGACAGGCAGAATCCTACCATGAAACTTTATCTGCCAACCAACTGGCCCCACTCCCAACTTCCCATCTTCTTTCTCTCCTCACCTAAGGGGCAGATAGGTAGCCTGAATGACAGTCAAAGAGGAAATGAGTTTGGATTCCCTCACTTTTCCATTTCTCAAATTTTTAATCGGGCCGTTTTTGCAATCTTGGTTCATTCCCTTAGTGGAACTGTCACCTGCTCCCCTCCCAGTTAGTTATGCGGTTCAGCCAGTGCCAGGCTTGAGCAAACACACACAATGACGACACCACCAAACACACACACACACACAGTGGAAATCTGTACCTAGGTGGACAAATCATGTTCACACATGCAACGCGAATGCATCGACTCACAAGCCATTACAAACCTGCCACAGTCACAGCTGCCAGTGCACTGATGAAGGCCCACCTGTCGTGTCTGCCCCCCCCATCCTCTCTCACACACTCACGCATAAAACACACACCCACACTCACACTAGTGTATGAATAGCCTCTAGGGAAGGTGGCCTGTAAGTGTCCCTCCGGTGCCCATAGGCAGACCTCCCTGTACAATTAATAGGAGACTTTTAGCCTCTGGCATCATTGTAATCTATACATCTTGACTGCTTTAACTCATCAGGCCTGTGTCATTTTAAGGCAACGTGTGTAGCTTTATGTCAGCGTGACATTTTTCAGCATCAACAACACTGAGGAGAGATGAAGGGATTTGGTTGTTAGGGAATAATACAGCAGGTAAAATGAAAGGATTGAATATCTCGTCCTTAAAGGAGCCATGACCTGCTGCTTTACTACAAACAGTAGGATTTAATAAATAGCTGTGTCCATTGTCATCATCTGGCTTCCTTACAATCCTTACAAAATAGTTTTTTTTGTATTCTTCTTTAATAATTTTAACAAGAAAGCACCTTCAGACACTTTATATTATCCCCTTTATTCACTGGGTTACACATCAGAATTTAACTTTTGTGCATTCATGTTGATGGAGCATTAGCAACATTAGGGGTATGGCATGGTTGGCTCTCTTACACAATGGCTGATAATTTATACAAACAGCAACACCTACTGACTGCTAGTGCCTACAGGTGAGATTGTTGGAATTGCTCCTATTGGGGACATAGAGATGAGTAGTGATAGCAAATGGGGCTACTATACTGACCATAATAAAATTTTGTGGAGAGCCGAACTCCGGTGAATTTTTCTGGTTTGAACAAGCCAACAGAAAAAAAATCCACTCTCAAATTGAACAATTTTCCATCAGGTTTCAATTGAAGCAGTTATCTGCAATAAATTATGGTACAACCCACCAAATGCTTTGTAAATATATATATATATATATATATATATATATATATATATATATATATATATATATTAGGGATGGAACGATTCGGTTCGACTGCCTCGATTCAATTTACATATGTTGCGTTTGGTTCTGCGCTGCTCCTTTTTCTCATAGGTGCAGCATGTACACTCCAGAGCAGAAGGTGGCGGTACTGTGACCAAAGCCAACCACCAGTGGTAAACAAGAAGAAGAAGAAGCGAAGCAGCGTAGCCGCGTGTAGCAGAAAAAAATCAGTTGTTGTGGAGAATTGTGTGGGTATGGCGAGTGGGAAAGAACAGGAGTTGGAAGACGCGCCAGCAGCACTTTATAGGTCTGCTGTATGGGACCACTTTGCATTTAGAGTGACCTACGATGACGGCGGAAAGAAAGTTGTGGATAAAAATGCAACAGTGTGCAAGCATTGTGCAACACCTGTTATACTATACAAGACATGATAGATTTTCCTAACAATCAACATATTCCCGAACCAAACAGAAAACCGTGACCACGAAACCGTGAACCGAACCAAACCGTGGATTTAGTGAACTTTTCCACCCCTAATATATATATATATATATATATATATATATATATATATATATATATATATATATATATATATATATATATATATATATATATATATATATATAATAAGCAGGTCCAGTTTTTCCAAAAGATTGTATAACACACTCATTTGTCGTGTCCTCTAGACAAACTCACAGCAGAAGACTCCACTGCTGAAGAAAAACCATTATAAAACTCATTTAGTTTGTTACAGAAACTTCTGACAGATTGTTGACAAACTGGGAGATTTTCGTCTGGTCAGTGGGACCAGATACACTTTTGGCTACAACCTCCCACATACTGTAGAACAGCACCATTTTTCATTATCATCATCATCATCATCATCATCATCTTTTTATTCCAGTTAATATTATTTTTGGTCTAACTTGTACTGATATCTGTCCATTTCCCCCTCTGTAGGAGGGTTAAAAGAGATGAGTTGTTTGTTAAGGAATTAGTCTCCATCCAACTCCAGATGTAAGCAAGTTGAAAAGAAAGATGAAGGCCCAGGGTTAGGCCAGTAATGAGCGCTGCAGTGGAGGTAGCATGGCAGAGGTGTTGGCTGTAGCAGCAGCAGCCATCGCTCTGTCTTTAACCAGAATGGTGTATTGATTAAACCCCTTGATTTGGCCCAGATCAGCCAGCTCCTTGCTAGCGCTGTGCCAACACGGCCCGTAGGGTTACATGGAAGAAGTGTGTGCAGCAAAAGGGGGGCTGCTAGATGAGGCGCCAGCTGCCGGGCTCTTCCACCCACCCTCCTCCGAGACGCCAGCCCCCCTCCTGCCATCACTCTCCCCTCCGCTATCTATCATCTCAATATGGTGCGGGCAGCCAGTTTGTGTTGTGCTAATTTCCTCCAATAAATCAGTAATTATTGCTGTGCCGTCCCTGCTGTCTCCCCCACATTTCAACCCCCCATTACCCTTCCTTTTTTTTTGGGCTTGCTCTCTACCTCACCCTTTCTCTGTCTTCCTCTCTCCTTCTCCTGCAGCTGTTTTTCCATTTGTCCAGAGAGCGAGTGTTCTCAGAGGAACGCACGCGCTTCTACGGCGCTGAGATAGTCTCAGCACTCAACTACCTGCATTCAGCCAAGATTGTGTACCGGGACCTCAAGGTAAACAGAACCCAGAAGTAAAAGGGGAGTCTGGTCACATATTTGAGGGAAAAGAATTGCTGCTCCCCCCCTCACCTTTTTTTTTTTTTGCCCTGCTCCACAGTTGTGTGTGTTTCCTTTTTTTTTTTTTCTTCGTTGATTCAAGTGGCTCAGAATTGGTTGTAATTAAAAAGTGGGACAGAGACCTACACAAAGCAAAAAAAAAAAAAAAAAGATTGGGGGGTGCTGATGCCACAGAGGTAGAGAGGTAGATGGCTCCGTCTGAGCGCCTGCCTGGCAGCCTTGGCCTCAGACCTGCTGACAGCAGCCAAGAAAACAGGAGGGGGAAAAAAAAGCAGGCGCAGAGAGAGAAAAACACTTCAGCCATTAAAATTAAAAGGTTGAGTGGCTCCACAACACGCCTGAAGTTTATTTCCCTCATTTGTTCAGAGTTCAGTGTGTCTTGGTGTGCCTCCTCATCTCTCTGTTTATGTGTCTACCTCTGCTCACTGTTACACTTTTGGCTTTTTGATCTGTTATCAAAGCGCCCAGCACTGCAGGAACGCTGATGGTTCTCACTGATGGATGATGACAATAAGTTCTGTCTTTTTGTTTTGGGTCCAGCTGGAAAACCTGATGCTGGATAAAGACGGTCATATAAAAATCACAGATTTTGGACTCTGCAAGGAGGGCATCACTGACGCTGCTACCATGAAGACCTTCTGTGGAACACCAGAGTACCTCGCACCAGAGGTAACGCTTCATACAAACTACTACAATCAGATTCAGCTTCCTTATTCCTCTCACTGTTTTTTTATTCTCTACCTGTCTTCTTATCTGCTCTTCAAATCTAACGAACAGTCTATTAAACGTGTATGTTTATCTTCGTTAGCTAGGAAATTACGGTATATGCATAAATATTTGGCTATTTTAAAGATTCACATGGATCATTAGTCTGTGTAGGATTATAGTACTGCAGTGATTCAAGGCCTATTTTTGTTTTAGCAGAGGTGTACCATATGGGTCTGCTAGCAACAGGCCAGAAGGTAACCCTGAATGAAACTACAATAGAATCACTGTACCACCACTATATAAAAATATTGAAGCATAAATATAAGGGATCTCACTGTGCATGTAATTACTTTCAGACTGAATGAAGGAACAAAAGACATGTTATATATAGCTTGAATAAACCTTTAACCTAAATTTAACTTGACTAAAGGAAAAATATCAAATTAACACCTAAATTGCCACTAAGTGTATTAATTTCCAAGCTTGTCCTGTTGGTCTTTATGGAGTAAAATGTGTATCTGCTGTGGTAGCTAGCCTGTTATCTTCAGCTTAGCAAACATGCAGCTTACCAGACCTGGACAACATGTCACATCGACTTTATCATTACTTTTTCCAACATAAGCCTTTAGATGTGATATTTTGTTACGTATATAACAAGTTCCATGCATGCAAATTCTCTATGCTGGCCTTTGGATTTAATATCACTGCCTTGCTTATGTCAATACTTGATCTATATCTTTATCGGTCATAATGCTAAAACCTAAAAAGACTGGTGGGGGAAATGGGGAAAGAAATCATTATTATAATTAATAACCATCATTATGGAATGCTTCTTTGGTTTATACACCATGACTGTTTGCTTTTTTCACGATCCAAAAGTATTTCCAGACAGACTAATATGTAATGAGCAGACCTTTTAGACCATAACATGATTTAAAAAGGTTATCTTTAAAACACAATGCAAAGCAGCTGGTAGCATGGCAGCTGTAGTTTTAAAGCAGCTGAATCCAGACACAAGCCAAATGGTAGAACTTAATAACATTTTCTCAGCCAGCTCGCTGGCAGTGCGCAGCAACACGTAGGGGATTTAGGATCTTGGTATTGCTAACTAGGCCATGCATGGGGTCAGATCAGACTATTAAATGAAATGTTTGGACAAAGCAAACTGCAGATTAAGGATGAAACGCTGAAAGGTGTAACACATCAGGTGAACATCAGCGGTGATGAATTCCTTCATCGCTTTGACATTAAAGCTTTCTCGCTCTGTTTATCTCTAATCAACTGATGAGCGATACGTTCATCGGGGGTCTGACTGTTATGTTCGGCAAAGCTAGCAGATTGACTGAGGCCTTGTTCTACATAAAAGCATTTGCAGCATCCACAGGCAGCCTATCCATTAGGCCGCGCGGGGGCCTCTGTGAACTGTGGGGACTCCGGTCGCCCGCAGCACAGCGCCTGTTTATCTAACAGCAGCCCCATCTGATTAGCTTAACCACCGGGATTATAACCCGTCTTTGATAAACGGCCACACACCAGGCAAGGTCACTGCACGCCTTCTAACTTATGGTTGCTCCCGCTCAAACACATATTGTGTTTTTTATTTGTTAGCATGTTTGAATTGTTGCCTTCATGCATGTGTATGTTTTATTTCTCTGATTTCACAGGCAAGTAGTTTCCATAATATCAGGGTGAGGAGTAAATATGCAGCTCAGGAGTGTGAATGAGGGTGTTGGCGGTCGAACTAAGCATGCACGCTCTCAACAGCCACCTTCTTGCACTCCCTGTTTTTCTTTTTCGCCGCCGTACGCTGTCCAGTGACGGACGCTGCTTCAGTGGGAGGCCAGAGGATCAACTGGCAAGATGGATGCAGGACTGTAGGTGGTGGAGACAGAGCGATGGAGATGTGCACGTAAAGACAAGAGAGGCAGAGTGTAGATCCCACTCAAAAAAAAAAAAAAGTACGGTGGACAATTTGGCGCAGTGTTTTGTGCCTTTTTTTTTTCCTGTAGTCCCTTCCTTTGCGTGCCAAAAGCTGATTGGAGGCTGTTGGTTATTTTTCACAGGATGTGTGTCTCCTTGTGCATTTATGTGTGTGTGTTAGTGCTGCGGAAAGTGCAGGCTAAAGCGAGGCAGATGGCGGCAGATGGGCGAGGTTGGAGGAAGGTGGTCGGGAAAAAAAAAAAAAGGAAGAAAAAAAAAACCCTGGAAATCTACACCAGTGCCACTCGCCCGCCCGCCCGCACACTCCGCTCGCCCGCGTGTAAAAATAACACAGCTCGCTCGGAGCCAAGTTACAGAGATGCAAAGTAGCCGGGATTAAAAAGAGAAAGGTGGATTGGATTGGGGGGGGGGGGGGTCGTAGATGGAGGGAGACAAGAAGAAATTTTCAGGGTTACAGGAGGGAAATTCTGATGGTTCCTGCGTTTGCTGTCCTAGGAAGGGGGCAGAAGATGATCTTAGGGCAATGCAAAGTGAATCACTGCAGCTGAAGATGCCGAGCAGCAGACTTAGGTGTTGTTTCTATATCAGCCACAATAGAACAAACGTTTACGTGAGAATACTGAACAGAAAAAAACAAAGAAGGAGTGTTTTCTCTGCTTCTTCCTCCATATTTTCTGTATTTGACACTTTTCTTTGTGGCAGTTTTTTAAAGTATTGAAGGGGGGTGGAATTGGTCTTTTTCCATTCATGTTTTTTTTTTTTTTTATGTGTGTTGTATATGTCGGACAGTGACCTTTTCACTATAAATGTTTAACAAACATTGCGGCGCAGTCAGCTGTTGGGGGAACATTTGGAAATGTTAGCAGATTGTCAGGGTAAACCCGTTTCCAAATAATGACACTGTGCAGATAGAAGGTCCACGTCTGACATCAGCAATATGGGATTGTATGGCCACAGTATAGGAAGTGTGTATGTGGGACTGTGTTCCCCTGCTGGCTATCTGGGCTCTAACAGCCACAGGCGTTGTGAGCCCGTCCCGTCCTGTGTAGCCCCTGCGCTTTCTGCCAAAGCCCCCGTCCTGCGAACAGCAGCTAGCTGCCACATGGCTGCCCCAGCGGGGACCGGGACGGGTCGAGACCTTTTTCCCTCTCTGCTGCTTTTAATCTCAGCTCCGCTCCTCTCTCCTCCTCTCCTGCTGATGGTTTAAATTGTCCCTAACTCATATCGTCCCATTTATTACTCAGTTCTGTTGCTAAATTATACACACACAAACCCGATGCGATGCCTCGGCGCCTGGGGCTGTAGGGCAGCATTCTGGCTCTGTGTGGATTAATCTGCTCCCTGCCTGCAACCGAGCTGCCACCACCTTCCTCAGACATGGGTCAAACTAAAACACACAGCCTTCTCTGCACATCCACACGCTAACAGTGCATTAAAAACCAACATTTTATCTGAAGTTATTACCACAAACTACTGCATTTTGAATGGATTTTACGTCATAGATTAATGCAAAATAGTCCATAAAGTTTAATCGGTACAAAAGATGTATATCTTTCTCCTTTTGTGCTTGTGTTCCCTATATCTGTTACCTCTAAATGACACCAGTTGGCTACAAAAGTCTTGTGGGAGAATGTGTTAACAGATGTAGTTGTGCATTTTAAAAAGTTCTGTTCATGGTTTGCTACAAATCATGTAGAGGAGACTGTAAAAGAAAATGCTCGCCTTTTAGGACTATATGAAAAATGACAAATGGCCAAAAAAACAACACTTCACTCCCCGTTCCTACTGTGAAACATGGTGATTGCTGCATCATGCTTTGGAATGCTTTTGCACAGCAGGAAGAGAGGAGCTGACAGGAGTCTCAAAGAAGAGAATGGGCCGAAATGGACGTAAAAAAAAACTAAAGTGAATGAAAAACAGGCATTTTCTTCATATCCAACCCAACAGATTTATTTGTCAGCACGTCTGAACTTTATGTTGCATCTTTGTATAAAGAAGAAAAAGTTCAGACAGCTCACTAGATTAGCAGCAAAAACAGCCTTCTAAGCTGCTTTGAATTTCACAAACTGCAGCCCTTACTGTGTGAGCGCTGAAACAACACCAAACATCTCCCAGTTTGCCTCCCTCTCCAAACTTTATGAATTTGATGAGGATGGATAAATATTCCATCTGCCGTGTACGAGTGTGTGTCTGACAGTCTCCCAGCAGTCTAAGCCGGTGTTATCCCTCCAGCCGTACCAGTCAGAAGTATATATCTGGAGCTGGCGCCGTGCTTCATTCCCCCAGCTCTTCTCTGCAGCTGCCAACTGGGTGACCAGCTTGATTCCCTCGCAAACACATTCACACATAACAAATGGCTCTCGTAACTCTTATTTACTTTAACATACAGTGCTTTGAGGAGGACTCAAGATGACATGAACTTTTTTACATATTTTTAACCTGCCACCACCTATTTTATATAAAGAAGTCTTTAACCCTTATCTGGGAGTAAAAGTAAAGGTCATTGTTAAGAGAAATCCTGTAAAATAAGGGACAAAGCAAACGTCAATTTTTTTTTTTTTTTAGCTTACATACAGAAAGCTGTATGTGTGTTTGAAAATGCTAAACAATCCCAAGAGTAAAACATGGTGGTGGCAGCATCATGGTGTGAGGAAGGTGATGCATTTCTTCATCAGAGTTGATGGGAAGATGGCTGAGCTAAACATGAGAGAATACAGCATGGGGAGTTGAGATTAGATAAGACTTAATTGATCTAGCACTTTGCTAGATCAATAAAGTTAGCTTGGCAAAAGTGCCAACAAGTGCTTTAATCAAAGCAACTTGGCTACTTTGAAGAACCAAGAATATAAGAAATTGTTTCAGTTGTTTCAAACTTTTTTGTTAGGTATATAATTCCACATGTGTTAATTCATAGTTTTGATGCCTTCAGTGTGAATCTACAATTTTCATAGTCATGAAAATAAAGAAAACTCTTTGAATGAGAAGGTGTGTCCACAATTTTAGTCTGTGCTATATATATG